ATAGAAGGTTGCTGGTAAAGATCTGGAATAATTTTATTATTGTTTTTTCTTTCGATGAGCTGTCTGCTGTACTTTTCCTTGGGCTTTTTCTTGTCTTTGGTCAGTCCAGTAGCATATTGTTTTATCATATTTCGAGTGACTTAATGTAGATTCACATGAAATCCTTCCATTTCAAGTGACTGGAAAACTGATGAAAGGATGCATCATTGCACTTAATAAAGAAAGAGGTATCCAGGGAAATGTGGGTAGTAAACAGAAAAGAGAAAGAATAATTGAAGCTGTAGAAAACTTAACTAAGTTAATCCTTTAAGTATGGTAGCATTTTTCCTTTTGCGAAATACTGTATAAATTGTTGGGATTAACTGTAGCAAAGTAAAGTGCGCCATCCAAAACAAATAGTCAACTTAAATGGAAATAATACTTTAAATTCACAGCAGAAAAACACACTTGGAGGTTACATTTGTGATAGGAAATGGGAAGAAAAAAGCAGCAAAGGGGAAGAGGCAGATGGTTAAACCCTAAGCCTAACCCTATGCTTCATTTCAGATTTGGGACAAGGTTAGCCAGTTGTTGCTGCCTGCTGGGTGCTATATACGGTAGAAATATTAAAGTACACTTTAAAAAAATTCTTGTAATCATAAAACATTTTATTTTTGTCTCACAAGTTGTTTATCTGAGTGTTTATTATGCTGAATGGTCCTTATTAATGGTTCCATGATATTTTAGTACATGAGGCAGTAGGAAGGGAGGCTAGTTATGCAAAGACTAGAGAGTAGAAGAGAATGTTAATATGCATTGGAAGCATCAGCTTCCATACAGGAGTAGAGGCTTAAAAGGGAGTCAAGATGGCAATCAATGAGGGACCTCAAAGCCCCACCCTTTTTGTATGTCAAGGTCTTGTGTATGTACAAAGGGGTTGGGCTTCAGTCGTATTGCCATGGCTGCCATCTTGCCTTTTTGACACTTTCATCCATTGATGCCTATGATCAGAGGACAAATAATTGTCCTTAATCTCAGTAAACCATACACCCTTAGCTAAAACCCAGTAAGAATTAGATGCCTTAGATGTTAACTTTTTAAAAAGAAAATATATTAAGTTAAATCTATCACAAAAACTTGTAGTAAGTACTTTCAAATATATGTTTGATAATCTCCCCTTTATTAACCATGCAGCCCCTGTTCTATGGACAAGTCCCTATTCTTCTGTCCTTCCAGAGACTGTTCAAGACCTGGCTTTTCTCACAAATGTTAGAATGGGCAAGGTCCAGAAAGTGTGGTTGATGACACCAGGTTTTTCTGTTTTTAATTTTTTGTTGGTGGTTTTATATCATTTTATTGCTCGTAAACTGCCCAGAATTGGTTTTAAAATGGGTAGCTGTACAAATTTTAAATAAATAAAATTTTATTCTGCTAGCAATATGATAGTTGCATTTGTGCATGTTAACTCATCATTGAAACTCACCAGCTAGCAATAAATCTACTTATAGAACTGCTTTTTTCAGTTGAAAAACACATTCTTCCCTTGTACCAATTTATCTGGAAAGAGAAAACTTTATGAGTCATTCTGTAAACTTGCCATAGATTTTAGAAAGCAAGGTATGGCAAATATAAAGAAGTAAATGGTTTTGTACATCTCTACATTTCCTGCCCATAATCAGTCCAATTTCTAGTAAACAAGAAGAAATCTATTCAAATCAGCATGTTTTATTGGATTCACAAGACTTACTTTTTATGATGTTCCAGAACTTCATGTATGCTCTTGGCACAAAAACCCGTGACTGTAATGGAAACTGAGAAGTCTTTCAAATATTGTGTCTGTTGGCAAAGTATAACCAAATTACACTAATGTACAAATTCTGAAAACAAGCTTCTCCTGAAAGGGACAGAGAATCAGAACTCTATTCTAACAAAAGGGACTTTGAAATGTGTGCCACCACATGTTTTTCCAGTTCTGTTTCAATTCCCCAAGCTTGCAATCAGTTGAAAATGAGGAATAATAAATATGAACTGCGCTATCTAAAATGAGCTAGTATTAATCTTATTTTTAAAAATCTCTTTTTTAAAGGCAAGTTGTGTTCTATGAATGTGTTATGGGTTTTTATATAACAAGAATATTAGGATCCTTAAATGAAACAAAATAAAGCTTACGATTTTTTTTCTGCAATGGTAAGTGCATACACCCATTGAGTTGCTCCATTTCAGAGTTCAAGCAAGGCTTGATTCCTAAAGGCTTATCCAGACTATCAGATTTCCTTGTCTCAGAAAGTTTTGGAAAGAAAAAGTGGAAAACATTGTCCTGTTTTAGCTCCTAGGGACATGTTTTTATGCTTCACTTCTGCAGTAAACTTTTCCATATTCTGTTGCCTCAAGCATTGTTGGTCTTTGAAGAAAATATTTAAGCTTGATGTAGGCTAACCTACAATAGCAGTTTTAATGACTATTATGCAGAATCAGGAACATCCCTGGAAATGAATCAGTGTTTCCCATACTCTGTAATATCTTTCCTATGAATGCTATAACAGCTCAGTGTGTATAATACTTGTCTTGTAATCAGTAACTGGTTAGTTCAAAACCCTGCAGACCTTTTGTCTCTATTGTTATTTTTTTTCCCTTGAGCTTTCTACTTTTCACCACTTTTTTCAGTCATCTAATACAGAAAGTTACCTATGAACAACTACAGATTATTCAGGTTATTTGGAAGCTAAGGATGAATGACTGAAAAATGATTAAACAATGTACTGTGAAAATTATAAAAACAAAAACTATATAATTTAAAAAGACCAAATAACCAAATAAATGGTCTCTTCTCCTATCTCAAGGACTTCTCAATTTTAAATGTATTGAATATTTTCAGTTTAGAAGGCAAAGTTTATGGAAGATCACAATGCATTGGGAAGGCAGGGCTTGTTTGACTATGGTTTGTATAGTAAACCACACATTTAGGACTAATCATGCTGCATGAACCAGTTAGATTCATGAATCATGCTAAGCCATTAAGTATGGGTTACTCATTACACAATAAATTAAGCCACAAACAAGCAAACTAATTTTGTGCGGATCAGATTAATATTGTTCAAAAAGAATCAGTTGTGCTGTATCATCTTTTCCCAAATGAGCACAGACTTCAACTTTTAGAATGCTTCAGCCAACACAGCACCACTGCTGAAAATACTGGGAACGGAGGTGCACACACTTGGAGAATGCCCAGTTTGAGGAATGCTGACATAGGGAATAATGGTTATAAACTTCTCTGTACAAGCCTCCATATATGAGGATTCACACAGGCAGTTTATTCTATGTCTAAACTGATAGTAGCTCTGCTCAAAATAAATAGTCACAGAAAAAAAGCTTATTGAATAAGCTATTTGGTCTCCATTTTCTCTCAAGGCATTGTAGATAATGGCAAGTGTTTATAATTATAAAAACTGCAATTTTTAAAAAAAAAATAATACCACCTATTTAGTAGATAGACATCTAATGTTGTTTTAGTTACACATTAGATGATTTTCATTTTGAACCATCTCATCCTAATCTTGAGAGCCAGTTTGATGTAGTAGTTAAGATACAACGCTAAAAACAGGGGGACCATGAGTTCTAGTCCTCCAGTGGACCATTGGGCTCCTTTCTCTTGAAGATGACGTTGGCAAACCACTTCCAAAACTTTCCATGAAGACTGCAAGACTTCATGAAAACTTTCCATGAAGTCCAGGCAGTTGCCAGAAGTCAACAGTATATGAAGGAGTACACATACACAGAGAGAAATACACAGAAACACAAAACTTCTTAACCTTAACCTATAATTTCCTTCTGAGATGAGCAAAAACATACTGCCAGAACAATGAAATTCCACACAATGATAGCTCAGTCTCACAATGTTAACTCAGTGGGTTAACTCAGTGCCAGAGGTCATCAGGTTCTCTCGCAACTACTTTAATACAACTACTTGTGCAAAAAGCAGCCACTTGTGCAAAAAAATCTCTGGGTAGAATACCCAACCAGAAAATGTTTCTGATTAAAAAGTTCTCTACATTCAAAATTTGCAGAGGTTGTGAATCTTGCTTTAGATTCATGCCACATTCACACCCCATCCCACATCTTCCCAAAAGAAGTTAAATATATTTTTCTGAATAAAACTTATTTTACATCTCTGTCTTATTCTGGGCACAAGAATTCTTTCTGAACACATATAGGACAGTAGAGAGGTATCCCAGCTAAAGAAAATGCCAAACTGAATCTTCTGTGTAAGAAATCTTGAATTATATTCTTTCCTATGGATTCCAGGTCTTCATTTTCTTAATTATTCCTCTGAGGCTGCAGAATATTATTCTGCAGCTCTCAGCAGCTCTGCTGGCTGCAGGGATCCTGACACAATAATTTCATGCGTCAGCATTCTAAATAGAAACGAATAAAAATCAATCAGGGCAGCTGCAGTAGTGGAACCTGCAATTCTAACCTGCTTTATGTAGGTTTCAACATTTATCTGCAGACTAATCTATAAAATGGTGAGTATGCCTATTAAGGAAGCATGCCTCTGCAGTCTGCCTCTCAGATCAGTTGAAAACTTGCACTTGCGTGCTAAATTAACTGAGGTGCAAAAAAACAGTCACAAGACGTAAAACAGTATTTATATTCTGTGTCTAAGATACAGTATGTTTTTGTTTAACGGATACAACAGAACAGTTCTGAATATTTAAATTGAAGTCCACTTAACCTTTAAGAATAACAATCTTTATTTTTTATGGTTTGGAAATGACAATTACTCTCTTAATGGGCAGAGTTACCCAACAGTATATTTCATTTGGTAGTCAAATAATTGTACAGCTAACTTCCTGAGAAAAAGGACATTCCTAATAAGATTTCTTAATTATGTGGCTCTGTAATTTTACAAGCACAAAACAATGAGCAGTAAAAGAAGGATGGAACTCAGAGAAACTGTATAAAGTGTCACTATTATAATTTCCAGATGCAATTAGCTTCTTTGCAATGTGATATTTTTGCAGTGAAGAAGATTCTTGACTATAAAGATGAAGAGTCTACTTTTTCTGGTGCTGATTTTTTTCTACTGGGCTGAGCATCATGCTGCTAACTTCACTCTGGAGCATGATAGAATAATTCACATCCATGGTGAGTAAAAGAAATTCAATGAACAATTGTGATGCTGTAATAAAAAGGTTAACATTTGCTACATTTATAAAACTGATTAGCTAACTTTGCTGCAGCGTTACATTTTTTATACTGCAGTGCTTTTTAGGTTGGAACTGCAGTCTGCAGTTCAGCATACCACATTTCTGTGATTTTTGCCAAAGAAGCAACGCTTACTAACATCAAAATGCATGCATGTTAAACACAGCAAGTAAGCAATTAGGCTATCTGATAGATATCTGCCTACTCTATAATATATAAGATATAAAGCCTTTCACAAGTAGACTCCCATAGCACAGAAATATGGTAATGATAGATTATTAAAACACAGTGATGCAAAAAAAGAGATCAGCAGCAACTTAGACAACATAGAAAGTAGCTTACCTCCCTAGATGATGCCTTCCCATTGCTTTGATTTCTATGAAATACTACCTCTTATGTACATCCATTCAAATCCTAAAGCGTATGATTGGCTGTGAAAAGCTTTGAGGTGATAGCGGAATGCAGCTGTTTTTCAGTTCTTGCTTCAGCAGCTAAAGATCATCCTGTATGTAGCAAGCCAATACATTTATTTATGCAAAAGTGACAGGCAGGATAAATGTCATGCAGCTTCTCTGCTTTGTATAGCTTACATTTTGACAATTTAAACTATACAGCCTATGGATATGCAGGATAAACTCTGGAGAGTCAATGCAATATAGTGAATGCTGGCCTCATTATAAACTGTTCTTCATGTTGATACTTAGAAAGAAATGTTGAGCATCAGACAATTTTGGGAGGATTCTAAGAAACAGTTATCATTTTTAGAGTTATTATCAAGCTGCTAATACTCTTTTGAACCATAATGTGAAAATTTCTTGTCTACTTTACATGAGAATGTAAAACTTTTGAATGTTTCAATTTTGAAATTTTGTTCTAAAAATGTTCAATTTAATATTCAATTTAATGTTTGGTTAAGGTTTGTTTTGAAACATTTTGAAGGATTTTGCATGGTAATGGGCATCAGTAATGTAAGAAAAAAAACCAAAAATTTCATGAGAATTGGCAAAGAATATACCCCAAACTGAAAATATGGCTAACTAAATACTTAAGAAAGTTGACATAGAATCAGTAAAATATATAGTTCCAAATACATGGCTTAGAACAGACATGTCAAATACAAGGCCCGCGGGCCAGATACGGCCCGCCAAGAGCCCAAATTTGGCCCCTGGAGCTGTTCACAGAAATGGCAAGGAACCGGCCCCTGCTGCCCCAGCCCTGGCCCATCCCAACCTGGCTGGGCGATCTCCCAGCACACGCACAGGAAATGGTGAGCTCTCTGAGGCTGGTGGTGCGCAGGACGAGCTGCAACTCATTTGTCTCACCCCACCCCACCCAGCCTGTCACGCTTTCACTGGGATCGCGAGTGGGAGAGCCGTGGCTGACATGAGCATGGTGGAAACAGAATGGGAGCTTTAGGATTCTGCCTGCCAGTGTGCAATAGGAGTTTGCAGGGGCTGTCGGGGACATGGCAGGTGAACAGCAGCAGTTTTCAGTTTCTGGAATGGGGAGGTTGAAAGCAAAACTGCCCTTTTGGCAGGCGTAGATTCAACCCCAGCGTGGAGGCAACGGTGGGGAGGGTGGACTGAAAGGGAAGCCACTGCTCCACTCGTTTTTTTAAGCTGCCAGAGGCTCCGGATAGAAGTTAGACCAAAGCAGGCTCCCTACAGGAAAGCCCTTTTAAGGATTATGTATTAATAGAAAAACAACTAACCTACCTCTGCTCATGAAAGCTAACCTGTTGCACATAAAAAACAGCGGAACTCTGATTAACTATCACAGCCACCATTTTGACAGTTTTGCTGTACTGCTGTCTGTGGACATCTCCACTAAATGCAAGCACAGGATAAATTGAGCCTGGTTTGTTCTCCGTCTTTTAAGTGGCCACAAACTACTAGCAAAAGTGGCATTTGATCACAAGGCAAGAAGGCATGGAGAAATGTTTCCCCTTTTGCATTTGAGCATCCAAGAAGGGACAGGAAAGGAGAAAGGAAAGAGGAAAGAGAAAGAAAAAAGAAGGAAAGGGGGGAAGAAAGAAAGGAGAATAAAGAGGGAAGGAAAAAGAAGAAAAGGGAAGAAGGAAGGAAGGGATTACAATGAGAGAGAGAGGGGGTCTGAGGGAAGTGCTGTCTTAGCATTTGGCCACCAGCAGCCCTGCTGCCCTTTTGCCATCCCCTTGTCTCCTCATCTTGATCTCTCCTGGTGGCCTCCCATCCTATTGCTGAGGATACTTTAGTTACAAAGCCAGGTTTCCTCATATGGAGAGAGAGTGGGCTCCCTCTGACCCACATACTTTGCCCTCCCATACACATCATGGCCAAGGAGAGCAAGAACAATAGCAGCAGCTTCGAGGAGGAGATAAGCACAGCAGGGCACCCTTTTGGGATATCAGGGCTGGGCTGGGCTGTGGGATCCCAATGCCCTGGGAGCTTGAGCACCAGGCTGGATCCCCCCAGGCTCGCCCAGACCACACAGGTGTCCCCCAACACAAGTGATGTTAAGCTGGCCACACCCACCCTGACCATGCCCACCGGCCCCCCAAGGTCAACCACAACCCTGATGTGGCCCTCAGTGAAATTGAGTTTGACACCCTGGCTTAGAAGTAACTGTTTTGAAAGAAGGTAGATGATGATGATGATGATGGAGAGTCTTTAAAGGAAAAAGGCTCCCAAAATAGTTTAACAATTGATTCAATTATTGTAGAGGTTTCTCTGTTTCAATGAAAGCCATTGTCGGGGAAGCTTCAGTCTAGATTTCCCACATTGAACAAAGACTAAATAGCCTTCAAGAGGCCAGCGAACACTTTAACACTGGTGAAAAAGCCTATGCCATTTGGGTACAATTGATAATTAATGCACTTGAGGATCAGGCACAAGAGTCCCAGTTCAAATAATGTGGATTTTTTCAGTCATAAATGTATATTTTGAACAGGGGTTCATGTATACATAGGAATAAGTGTATTCATACTTATTATACTCATGTATATTCATATATAATTATACTTGAATAATTCTTCCTGAATTTGGTGACTTACAGATAGATTGAACTCAACTTTCATGGTGCATGGGAGGCTACTAAATTTTATCACTATTTGTAGTTGTCACCCATTTTTTAATTATGAATTTGTTTTTAGCTCTTCTATTTATAGTTGCAATTAGTGATACAATTAATTTAATTTGGATTAAGCTCATCTGAATTCTATATCAACAAATAATGAGAAGGTATTCACCATATGTGGCAATAATAACAATCTATGAAAATTATTTAGGGGATTTGATGCAGGATAAAGACATAACATTTTTTTCACTTTTGCCTCTCTTGTGACAGAAATGAACTGAAAATGCCAAATCAAAATAGTGCACCAAAGGATTCACCAAAGTGCACCACAGTGCACCAAAGGATTCCTACTTACAAAACAAAATTCAACATGTATAATCAAAGCAATGAGCCTCTACAAAAAGACATCATCACTTTTCATTCACTTTAGAGCACACATTATTTAAGATGACATAGTTTTGCATAAGCCAAATAGGCAGAAATCCAAGGATTTATCATTGTTCAATATGTATGTTCATCAAATATGAAAAAATCAATACCATAAATGTGTACATTGTGTTTATAAAGTGATTTTTCCAATTTGTTAAATACAAAATTTCCATAAGATGTTTATAGCAAATTTGACAATGCTAAAAATCCATTTAAAAAGGGAATAAAATGCAATTTTCACCACACGTGTACTTACCATTATGGTTCATGAATATGATGAGATTTATTTCTCTATTCTGTGTTGGTGAAAACATAACTGGAATATGTTTTCCACATTTTAGATGATCACAGTGTTCCATATGACAGCAAGTGAGATAATAATGGGTATGGAAATAAAAATTAAAGAGGAGTAGTTGAAGGTGTTAAATTTGTTTTGCATGGAGAAGAAAGGATTGCTAGGAGATATGATAGCTAACTTCAAGAGAACTGTTACACAGATAATGGAGCAGAATTATTAGAGTTATTTCAGAAAACAGCACATGAAAAATGTGTTAAAATAATATATATTGGTTGTTAATTCTTAAGTAATGTTCAACAATGGAAAATATTACCTCTTTCACTGTTAGTATTTAAATAGAGACTTATGGCCATTTTCCAAAAATGCTTTGGTAGAATATTCCTGCTTTGGACATAAAGTTGGACAAAATGATTCTTAGGGTACTTTTCAAGTACCGTAATTTCCGGCATATAAGACGACTCGGCGTATAAGACCCCCGACTTCGGAGCCGTTTTGCATGCCTAGAAAGTCATCTTATATGCTGGAAACTACCATAATTTCCGGCATATAAGATGACTCGGCGTATAAGACAACCCCCGACTTCGGAGCCGATTTGCATGTTTTAGAAAGTCGTCTTATACGCCGGAAAATACGGTACCTTAATTCTGTAATTTTATGCACATATGCCCCAAACATGAACATATTTTTCCTTCCTTTCAGAATTGCATTTTTCACAAGATGGAACAGGCCTAAATGGTCTAGGATATGAGAATCCTATTTGTCAAGATTACAGCTGCAAATAAGTGGAGGGTGTGTGTACCTATAAACTCACTCATATTGTTGGAATAGGCAACAGTTTGATGAAGTGCCCTGTGAGATAGTAAGAGCACTAGGTGGCACTGTTATTTTAGAAAAGTTTGTAAAAATAGGAATATGAAATTATCTGGAACCAGGACAAGAAAGGTGCTTCTGATCAGGCATGGACATGCTCATTGTTCCTGTCCGCAGCTGCATCTTTTCTGGGCTCACATGGTAGTTTTGTGGTCCCAGGTGAAAAAAAGTACAAACCCAGAAAAATGCATGCCTGCTTTAAGGAAATGTTGGCAGGTACAGTAAGATTCTGATTGTGGATTTAAAGCACTTTTCCCACATCAGATCCAAACAGCTGCACTATTCCTAGAAACAGAATAGGATGAAAAACCCCGTTTTTCTCCTTCCTGTAACTACATCCTTTCTGAATGCCAAGGGAAGAAAGGAAGGAGAGAGGAAGGAAGGAAGGGAGGGAGGGAGGAAGGAAGGAAGGAAGGAAGGAAGGAAGGAAGGAAGGAAGGAAGGAAGGAAGGAAGGAAGGAAGGAAGGAAGGAAGGAAGGAAATCATAAATGGAACATAAGTGGATCATTCACTGAAATGATCACTAAGTGTGCTTAAAGTCTTACTTCAGCTTTTCTTTGCTCTACAGACCTGCAAAGTTGGTCTCAAAGTTACTTTTTATCATTCCCTGTATTATCACAGATTTTTCATATCAGTTTATCTCTTGTATGTATGCATAGTAACATAAATATCTAATGTCTAGATTTTAGACCAGTGTAGCCATCCTGAAAAGCTTTAATTTGTCAACATTCTTATAATGCACTATACAAGTTATAAAAAGTTCAGGGTTAAAGATTCTTAAAATCACATATGGTGAATTATTTTTTACTACTTACTGTAATCCCCTGCAAAGCAAAAATCATAAAGGACAGGGTACTATCAATTTCAGGAAACCATTCTGAACTTTTAAAATTTAATTGACAGATATGGATCAGAATGGTTTCCCATGTTATTCTCTGTCAAAGCTCTTTTCTGGGCAGGTTTATTGGTTCTTTCATCTTGCAAAACTCCAATAATTTTCTTAATTTGGATTTTACCTCCCCATCACTGTCCCATTGTAAATGAATAATTTATGAATAATTTACTCAACCAAAATGAGTTGGAACTTATTTCTATATGGGGGGAGAAGGGTTAATGATAACAATTGAAATGAATCTCAATTATTACTACTATTGTTATTCATTCATATACAGAAGACATAAAGAATAATAAATGACTGATAATTTCAGGATCTAATAAATTCATTGTTTTTTATGCATTCTGCTTTGAACATTCTAACAATAAAGAGACAGTTGCATTTCCATCCTAGTTCAGAGTTCTTGTAAAATATTTGAAAAAACAGAATCAGGTTGATACTGTGGCTGACTGCCATGTTCAGATTGGGAATTCCTGTTTTCCCCAAGGCAGAAATGTATTATATAATATTTATGACTCAGTGAGGCTCTTTGGTTTTTGTGATTGTTTAAAACATAATTTGCATGCAAGCTTTCAGCACATATTGATGTGACTGAGAATCACTGAAACTTAATTAGTGGAAAAAATGAATCATATACTGATAAATGAAAATAAAAATGTTTTTTCAGAAAAAAACAGTTTTTCAGAATATTAATTTAATTCCCTTTTCCCCAGTATATGGTAATTAAGGCATCATGCCTAGGAAACCATGGGTTGTAGTCCCATTTTAGGCATAAAGCCAGATGGGTGACCTTGGGCCAGTTACTCTCTCTCAGCTCTAGGAAGGAGACAATAGAAAGCCACTATTGAAAAACCTTGCCAAGAAAACTGCAGGGAGTAGTCCAGGCATTTGCCATGAGTCAACACTGCCTTAAAGGCACCACAGTCTCCCACCCACCCCCCCCAAAAAGGACTCCACTTCTTGGAATTGATTTCAGGTGTCATGAAAGGACAGTGAATTCTTACAAGCAATTCTAATGGTCTCGAACCATCTTTCTTTGGAAGGTTGTGGAGGAAGTACAAGAGGCTCTGAAGAAAACAAGTGATTTCAGCCCAAGCAGGGTTGAGACAGTATACAGTGTCGAAATCATATTGGTCACAGTTGTGAATGGAGACAGTAGAATCAGGAGAATACCAATCCGTTTGGACAGTCTCTGAAAGAATCAAGAGAGGGTACTGCTGTGCAGTCAGTATCCATCTTCCTTACGGGTTAGTTCCAGTCAGTGCTAATAGTGGAGGCGAGATATGGCCAGAGACCCCTACTTCTTGCAGTCCCTTGGGGATCTGACCTTACTCCACTCCTTTAGACACTTACATGAATCTGGGGGTGTTATATGTTGGTTCAGGATTTGGTATTATCAGTATGCTGAAATTGTGCACTTGTGCATCTTGTCTCTAGGATAATGCTAACCGGGTGCCTGGAGATTGTCAGAATCTAGATAGGAAAGAATATTGTGAGCTGCTATAACCAAAACTGACTTTCTGCAGCTCACATAAAATTCAATACAAAATAAATCCCATATAAAAATTAAAAATACAGCACCAGAATGTCCAGAAAATAATAAAAGATGAAAACAACAACCCAAAATAGGGAAATATAGTTAAACTGAATCCTTCCAACACTGAGTGACTTTGGATTTGTGGAATCCTGGGAAATTCTCTGACTCTCAATAGGGTTATATTATCCATGATCAGAGATAGATGCAATTTAAGAGTTCTCCTAGACTTACAGTTCCCACTTTAAGTGGGAACTGCATTTTATCTAAGAGGGTTTTTGCAAAGTCACACCTTAAGTGCCAGTTATGATTTTTCCTTGACCCTACTCACAGATACTCATGCTCTAGTCACCATCAGTTGGGCTACTATAACATACATTACCCAGGCTAGCTTTGAAGAAGATTCAGTAGCTATAATTGGTAGAAAATATGGAAACCCTGGCAATGATGAATGTATCTCGATATACTCAGTAACATCTGCTGATTCAGGAGCAGCATTGGCTACCAGTGAATTTGGGGATATAATTCAAGGTGCTAGTTGTCACCTAAAGTTACACCCAGAAATCAATTACACCCAGAAATCAATAAGACCCTAAATGTGTTATGACTTGGTTATCTGAAGGACTGCCTTGGCTATATTTATTGACCCATCCAACCACATCAAATTGGGTTAGTTTTTTCAGGTCCTTTCTCTATACAATTGTCACTGGCATTCTCAGAAACTAGTCCTACCTTTGGAGATTCCTTCTTTATAGCGATTCATTTGCCTTAGCCTTCAGGAAGTATTATAGACCTACATGTTCTATCTTGCACAGGAGGAGTTCCTATAATTTGAAGATGGTTTTCTGCATGTATGACATTTCTATCTAGTCCTCATTTTTCATCATCATCAACAACAACAATACCACCACCACCACCACCACCACCATCTTCCTAGCATTATTCCCTCAGGAACAGGATCTGCTTTTTGGATCAATGAGTGCTATCTTGCATGATAAAATGTAGCATCTGGATCATGTCTGAATTTTGATGGAGATAGTTGGAGTAGTTATTTCATATATGTTCACACTGTTAGCCATTTATTGTTCATGAATGAGAGGCATGAGAGAGAAAGAGAGAATACTGAATCATATTGTACATATCCATAGATTTTTACTTGCCTAGGAATGTGGCTATTTTCATTTCTGAAATAGTTTAGTGTATCTCATCCATTTTAATCAATGTTTTTTTTCTCCAACATGTGATTAGAAAATGAACCTCACCTTCTTGTGAAAGCAGAACAAACCAAAATCTTCTCGCATCGTGGTGGCAGTGTTACTCTGCCATGTAAATTTTATCGTGACAATACATTACCAGTCTCAGGATTCCATAGAGTTCGTGTCAAGTGGACCAAACTCACTTCAGATTACCTCAAAGAACTGGATGTCTATGTTGAAATGGGCTACCACAAAAAAAGTTATGGTAATTACCAAGGAAGAGTATTCTTGAAGAAAAGCACTGAAAATGATGCCTCTCTGGTAATCTCAAATTTAATGCTGGAGGATTATGGGAAATACAAATGTGAAGTCATTGAAGGTTTAGAAGATAACTCAACTGTTATAACTCTAGACTTGGACGGTAAGCTTCCCAGCTAAACAGAAATTGTTCATTAAAAATATTGCTATTACTATTGTTCTGACAATATAGCTTTCATATCTTAATATAACAAGCTATCAGAATCTAGCCATATTAAATATTTTTCTTTAATTAATAAGAAAGATTATTGGATAAGTTAAGCTTGTTAACCTACATTTTATTTCTGCAGACATTTTTAAGGTGGCTTTATTTATAGTTCTCTTCAAGCTTTATAAAATAATTTAATTCAACTTAAGACTTTAGGATAACAAGCTCTGTCCCTAACATCATGCAGATGCTATGTGTCCATAACATTGGGACAAACCTCATGAGGGCAGAAGGCCTTGCTTATAGGTGAAAGTCTTTATGAAATCCTGATCTTGATTGTGTGAAAGTGCCTCTGCATATGTTATTAAATCAAACACATCTTTGCCTTGGGTTTTGAATATATTTAATTCAATTTCGAAGCAACCTGACTTCTGAACAACTCTGGGCAGAGAAAACAATATACATAGAAACAATCGTAACAGATTAAAAGACTCTGCAAGGCTGAAGGGATCAACCTTTTGGCCATTCTGACTTAAGGCATTTTTATACTGGATGTTTCTGACTAAACAGCTGAATTTGATGGGATGGAAAAATCTTGGCTGGAGAATGTACTTAGCCACAGAGGCTAAGCTGAAGCTGTTGAGTTCTTTTAAGCAGTTATAATCTACATTTCTTCCATTCTGTTTCTTAAATTAAGCATCTTATTTCAGAGGGAAAAATCAATTTTAAGAAGGAAATGGAAGCTTTACTCACATACTAGGCGAGTGTCAACAATTCTGATCTAGTGTACTGTAGTTTCCAGTTTTGCTATATTCATATGGCCTTCTCACTTACAAATATAGAAAGAAGTTAAGTTTCAGGTAGAGACAATAGCTACTGCAGTGTTTTGCTCATGGAAATAGCATTAATGATAAATCCAAGCTTATTTGAAGGTTTCATTCTAATACAAATGACACATTTTCTGGCTGTTCATAAAGTTTATGTGCCAAAATCAAACAATCCATTTTCTTGCTCTTTAAAAACAGGCATGCTAATAAAGAGGCAATGAAGCCAAAATAACTTATCAGATAGGTGAAAGCCCATATTTGAGTATTGCATGAAGAATTGGTGGCATTCCATCAGGAAAGAGTGAGCTTCAATATATGGTCTAAAGAGACAGTCAGACAAAACTGTCAGACTAAACCAGGGGTAGGCAACCCAAAACATTCAAAGAGTCACTTGGACCCATTTCCTACCGAAAACAAAACACTGGGAGCCGCAAAACCTTTTTGACATCTAAAATGAAGCTAACACTGCATATATCCTTTTTTACCTTTATTATAGGTGTGTGTATATATATATCATAAAGGTAAAAAAGAATATATGCAGTGTTAGCTTCATTTTATATGTCAAAGGGGTCTCTCTGTCTGTCTCTCCTCTCCCTCCCTCTCTCTTTCTCTCTCTCTCTCCATCTCTCTCTCTCCCCCCCTCACCCTCTCTCCGATCTTCTGCTCACCTGGCAAGCTGGCTTCAAGCTGTTCTCCAAGAAGCACAGGGGTGGGCAACCTCTGCTCTTTTATGACTCATGGACTTCAACTCCCAGAATTCCTGAGTCAGCACAGCTGGGCTACCTAGCTCTCTCCTGCCTTTCCTGCTTCCTGCAGAGACGCAGCAAAGGGAGGAGCTCCACCCAATAAACTTTTCAGCTTGTTGGAGAACACCATGAGTCCACTCTCTTTTTTACACACAAACACACACACAGAGAGAGAGAGAGAGAGAGAGAGAGAGAGAGAGAGAGAGAGAAGGGAAGGCAAGTGCCTTCTCTGTCTCTGTCTCTCTCTGCAAATGGCAGAGGAGTCTGGGAGCCACAGAGGAAGGCTCAAAGAGCCACATGCGGGTCCGGATCCTCAGGTTGCCAATATGTGGACTAAACAGTTCACTTGTTGTTAGGCCACATCCCCAAATATAAATTTAACAGATTGTTGTTTTAGTGGTAGTACAAATCTCCATTCAGTCTTCTATCTATTCTAACAAATTGTAAATAATTTTTAAAATGCCTTTCAGTTGGGGGAGAGCACCATTTATTTTTTTCAGTTTCCATCTGTAAACTCATTTTCAGCACTATTGTGATATTAGCAGGGATGGACCAACATTTTGGGGCTGATTTTGTTTTCATTCAAAAAAAATGTGCCACTGAAAAATAAGTAAACTTGCTGCTGAATTCTAGTGTATGATCTGAACATAGTACAAAATAAAGGCTTAAGACCTTGGGCTCCTGCTACCAGTGGATTGTCCTTCCTTGATTAATTAATTGATTAAGCAGTCATCTTTTCTTCTTGTGCTCTCTTTTAGGCATTGTATTCCCTTACTTTCCACGACTGGGTCGCTATAATTTAAACTTCTATGAAGCTCAGCAAGCCTGCCTCGACCAGGATGCAGTTATAGCTTCATTTGACCAGTTATACGAAGCATGGAGATCAGGACTGGACTGGTGCAATGCGGGCTGGCTCAATGATGGATCAGTGCAATATCCAATTAGAGATCCCAGAGAGCCTTGTGGTGGGAAGAACACAGTGCCTGGAATCCGGAATTACGGCTTCTCAAATAAAGAACAAAACAGATATGATGTCTTTTGTTTTACCTCTCACTTTACTGGTGAGTAATTTGACTCCTTGGAAGTTCTCTGGAGTAAAGTGTGACCCTTGATGTTAGTTTTTATTTATTTCTGAAGGAACCATAGCTCAGATGTTCAATGTGTTTTACATGCAAAAAGTCCCAATTCAATTTCAGTTCAAATTCAGTTCAATTCATTAATCCTTCTATTTAAAAAGATCAAGCATCAGATCATGGAAATACCAAGGGGCTGTTCTTATAACAGGAGAAGGCAACTTTTTGATAATATTTGGAATGTTAATATAATAAAAATTCTCTTACAAATGGCTGCTATTGTGGGATAACTGATCACAAAACAGACATTTATCAAAAGGCATAAGGTTGCTCCCTTATCAATTCTGTGAAGTTCAACTATTCCACAGTTTTGGTGGAAAAGATCACAGAATGCAGAAATTTTACTCCCATGTTTGGGGGCTGATATTTGATATGAAACTTCTTTATACATATTTGAAAAAAAAATCCTCTAGCATTTGTAGTAAGAAATTCTTATGCAACAAGGTTGCCAAAAATTAATCCTAAATGAAAACGGTTGATTCAGAATTTAAATGTACGTTAAAAATGGGGGAAATGTTACATTTTAAACAGAAAACAATGCTGACAATATTAAACAAAGTAAAATAACAATGCCACTATTTCTAGGGAAATTAACAGAAAAATACTTATCTACACAAGAGAGAAAACAAGGAAGCTAACATGGAAAACCCTTTTAGCAGGAACTTGGTCAACTCAGAACCAGGCATTGTATGCCTCTTGAATAGCAGATGTTTGGCTTGCAGCCCACAAACAAAGGGATGCTCCCTTGCTCTGAATATTCACAATAAAATTTATTTGTCTCAGAACATGAGAACAGTAAACATTACTATTCATTGGGCAATCCCGAGGAATGCATTTCCAAAACAAATAGGTTTTAAACCTTGGACAAATGTTTACCTGATCCAGATCCAGCTATTTTAGTTCCATAAGGCAAATAAATCTTGTGCCATTTAAGCATTATCTGAAATTTTTGGAAAATGAATAAATACACACAATGAGTTCCAAAGAGACTGACCACTATTTATAATGAAAATTCAGTTTCTCATAAGTCCTATCATCCCATCCCATATAAATAACATAGCTTGCACATAATTTGGGCTTTGAGAAAAGGCTTCAAACAAGAGATAAGATTTGAATTTGCCTTTCTGTAAAGCTGTTGAATCTGCTTCCTAGGTAAAGGGAGAGGTGCTGATTTTCTCTGTTTCCACCTTTCCCTTATAATCCTGTGCTGTCTTAAGGAAATGGGCCCTCTGATTCTTCAAAATAGCCTTGCAGATCAATGGAGAAAAAAATCAGGGATTATTGAATCAAGGAAATCACTTTGTTTAGATGAGGCATCTGTAATGTAGAATTCACACATAGTCTGGATCCAATTTTTTATTTTTTTTAAAAAAAAATAGTACCTTGTATTTAACTGAAAATATTAGAGCAGTGGTTCTCAACCTGTGGGTCGGGACCCCATTTGGGGTCGAACGACCATTTCACAGGGATCGCCAAACAAGGCTGTCCGCCATTTTTTCCCCCTTTTCTTTGGCCACGCCCCTGGCACCCGGTGATGTATAAGTGGTTGGGGGTCACCACAACATGGGGAACTGTATTATGGGGTCGCGGCATTAGAAAGATTGAGAACCACTGTATTAGAGAGTACAGTATAAAATTAATTGCACTAAACATGAAAATCTAAATCAGAATTATTTAGAGACATAGAATTGTCCAATATGAATGAAATATTCATATAGTAATGACAGTGTGAAAAGCCATGTAAAAAGCACATTGAGCAGTATGTACAGTATGTATGAAGCGAAGAACCATTTCTGCTGATTTAAGTCTGTCACAGCCCTTGTTCCTTCTATAGTATGCTGACAGTATTGAAATTGGATGATTTAGAGATAATTAGAAGTGTTTATGCATAATTTTACAAATATTTCTGAAGCAAATTTCAGCTAGGTAAGGACTCAACATTCTCTTTAACACAGTGGTTCTCAACCTGTGGGTCGGGACCCCATTTGGGGTCGAACGACCATTTCATGGGGGTCGCCAAACAACGCAGTCCGCCATTTTTCCCCCCTTTTCCTTAGCTGTGCTACTCCCTTTTATTCTATTGGCTTTTGAAAGCCAATCGAATAGACTCTCTTGAATAGAGTCTAATTCTATTGGCTTTCAAAAGCCAATCGGAATTGTCCAGGCTGTCTCTGCCCTGCTGAGCCCGCCAAAAGTCCCATTCTGCAAACGGTGCTGCACCAGTTGAGTAGTCCTCGACTTACGACCGGTTGAGTAATCCTCAACTTACGACCGGTTGGGGGTCGTGACATTAAAAAGGTTGAGAACCACTGCTTTAACACAATAATATCACTTTTTACCTTTCTCCGTAAGTGCATTAGAAAATTTAATCTTGTCAGTAGAAAAATTCTGCATATTTATAGAAAGAATGAAATTTCTCCCCCCTTAATTTTAGGGATAACTATAACTATAGTAAGAATAGTTTTGAACTGTTTTACACACAAAAACATAATAAATATAATGAAATATTTTTTTCTTACAAATCTTTAAAAAGTATTTTAATTGCATAACTTTTTTCATATGTATTATAATCTTTCTCTATTCCATCAGGCCGTTTTTATTACCTAATACACCCGACCAAGCTGACCTATGATGAAGCCGTGCAAGCCTGCATCAATGATGGTGCACAGATTGCTAAAGTAGGCCAAATGTTTGCAGCTTGGAAACTCCTAGGATATGACCGCTGTGATGCCGGCTGGCTGGCTGATGGCAGTGTCCGATATCCCATCTCAAAGCCAAGAAAACGCTGTAGCCCTAATGAAGCAGCAGTACGTTTGGTGGGCTTTCCGGATAAAAAGCACAAGCTATATGGAGTCTACTGCTTCAGGTCATACCAGTGAAAGGACCAAGAGCACAACAGTGTCCAGTGAAGATTGTTTCAATAAGAACTTATACAAATTGCCAAAACTGTGATAAATCTTTTTTTTTCTTACTATAAGGAGTCATTTCGTAAAAGCAACCAATTAATTTGTTCGGTTATTATTATTTTTTTAAAAAATCATTCAATAGATATTTTAAATTAATATAATTTAAAGAAAGTTCTAGGTAAGGAAGTTTTGAAATGTAACTCTTTAAGCTACACAATTCCAACAAACATATTTTTCTTGAATGGGGCATGCAATAGCTTGATGATTGCTAGGACTCAGTTAAGGAATGTAAGGCTTATCAAAGGATAAAGTTTACATATTTGCATCGTATTAAAAGATACCAGAGAATAATGACTGAGATCTGATGTTATGAACTGTGTCCATCTTTTATTAACTGCCATTCCATGTGATTTTGTGAGCAGTTAAAAAAAGATGTGAATGCTGTTTAAAGCAACAGTATTTTATGAAGTCTTCAACATAAAAAAAACAAGTTTCACTATTTTAAACCATGCCTTTTAGCAAACTCTGGTAAAGAATTGTAACATTCCATCAAGCACAGTTAAATCTTCTGAATATATTCCTGGTTTTCTTATGTATGCAGTAGAAAATGTGTGTATGAAAAATTAAAGATTGGAGCCATTTTTCTTCTTAATATAAACTAAATATGCCTGAAATATATTGCATTACTTTGAATAGTTTTATGAACTTTTATATTGCTGCAGCTGTTGTTTTAATTTTGAAATCCATTTTGCTAAGCAGCATTTAGCTTTTACTCAGGGCAGTTATCTATAAATGAACTGCTGGACAGAAACACACATGTATTAAATATAGCATCTTGATTTCATTGTAGCTTTTAAGTATTATTGCCTTTATAAATGAAAATTTTAAATATTTAAAATTTCCTGTCCTAGTTCCATGTGTCTAAGATAAACATTATTTGAATTTTGAAGCATATTGTCTCCTCTATAAATAAGAGGAAGATATTTTTTATCCTGTTTAGGAGAAGGAGAAATATTTTAATACTGAGTACTCTTGATAAAATCAAAAACATTTGCTTATTTTAATGGAGACACCAACTCCCTCATTTTCATCTTATTATGCCTTGTATGGTCCAGTTTCTTGTGTGCAAAGAAGAATTTATGTATGGCAAAGCTCTTGGGTTCCCCAGTAGAATATGACGAACTATAGCTACAGTATATTTTAATTGGGATTATTTGGTCACTATTAGGATTTCTAGTTATTTTTCCAGATTACTTTCTATATTACCATAATATGCTGAGTTATGTATAGGACAAATGACTTATTAACTTTCTTCAGCCTAGAGTTCCTAAATATATGGGAGTTCACATATCCATGATCCTTGGGAATGATGAGTGTTTAATTCTAAAACATCAGGAATGCTCATGATATTTCTGGTGAAAAATAAAGGTAGCAAAATATAGTAAGCACTGGATGAATCTGCTTAGAATTAATGGCTCTGATAAAACAAACATTAAACTATGACTAAGTTATGTTTAACAAAAGAAATTTCAGATAGTGTAGATCATGCTATGATTTACTGTGTAATCTTAGGCTCTGTTTTTGGGATTTGTTCCAAGGATCATAAATGTCTTTATTTGGATTCAGATAACAGAATCATATTGTCAATAATTACATGATTTTCATATATATTTCTGGATCATAATTCCAGCAAGAGGAAAGCCTTGTAACAATATATTTGTGGTTTGGTCTATGTACCACAATATTATAACTAACCAAGGGATTTTATCTTGACTGTTTTCAGAGGATTGTGCTCCAGCGGACAGCTAAAACAGCATATAGTAGGATTAGAAAGCATTTGCACACATCGTTAAACTTGTGTATTCTATGCAAAATGTTCCCATGTCAACATTTACGAACAATCAGTGTGTTGTATAAATGACATAGAAATAAAATATCTAATGCTCATGGATTGATTAAGATACACATTGCAAAAAGAAACATTGATATAATTGTACAAACATGTAAATGAGTATCTGTACCTTAGCAGAATGTTCATTAAAGATGGAAAATAAATGGAGAAATTTTAAGGTGTGAATTGTTCATAAAAGAATAGTAGAATGATAGTACACTGGTTTACTTCAAACAAGATTGGCTACAAAGTTTGAGTGAAATTTCATAAACATCTGCAAGCTTTATTGAGTAAAATAACATGAGATACCTAAGACTAGATGCATGATGCACCTGTTGGCTCTTTAGAGCAGCCAATGCCCTAATTATGGACACACCTTGAAAATGTTCAGATCTTTTGTAATTGCCTAATACAGAATAACAAAAAAAGGAACTAAAATATGAGAGGTGAAAATTAAGTGGGGCAACCTCAGCTAGGCTTTGTCGGCCATGAAACTAGCAGTAATAGCAAAGGAATAGCACATGGTTTTGAAGGGTAAATTACTACAAATTATTTTTTCTTCCCAACTTGAGCGCCCTCAGGTGATATTTTTCAGTTGACAGGGAAGCATCTAGAGTGGAGGTTGTGAATAATTATTCATGCAGTTGAGAATAAAGGACAGATACGTTTTTCTTATCCTTATACTTGCTGACTTCAACTATCTCAAGATCATTTTTTTTAAATGTCTATATTCTCTATTAATTGTAATTTGATCAAGTGTTAATCACTTTAAGACAAAACTTGTATTTTGTGACTGCTTTTCTGGAGACAGCTGGTAGATATTTGAAAATAAATAAATCTGCTTCCAGAAAAGTTGTATTTCCTTTTTTTAATATGTTTTATTAATTTTTAACATAATCACCTTAGTATTCGGTAGACAGTGCATTGTCTGGGTTTACATTTATCAAACATTTACTAACAATTAAATTCTATAATCTATAATCCACATGATAGCTTTACATGATTTCCTCTTTTCCCCATAGTGTTCTCTTTTACCAACCTTAAGTTAATACAATTCTTATTTTTTTAATAAATGATAATTAAGTATAAAAGTTTTCTAATATTTCTACAAATAATAATCACAACAATATAGTAATCCTTTTCTATCTAGTCATTCTGGTTGTCCATCATATATCCTGTTTACATTTGTTTTTGCCACAGTGTTCTAAACATTTTTACTAGTTAGGATTTTCTCAGCATTAATTACATTTAAATATTTAAATCTATTTTTTCTCATGTAAACCAACCCAATACTTTTATCTTTCTTAAGGAATAAATAAAACTAAAAAGAGAAAGAAGAAGAATGAGAATAAGAAAAAGAATAAAATAAGAAGATAGTATATTACTTAAAATCCCTATTTCCTATAAGCTAACACATATTTATTTCCATAAATTTTTCATTTTTTTGCCATAATTAAAAATGTATTTAATCTTAAAATAGTTCCTTTAATAAACCTAATCCACTAGTCTTTTAACTCTTAGTCAAAACATTTTTAATCCATTTATAGTTTTCTTAAAGTCAATTACCTTTAGATATCTAAAACAATTCCTTTATATAGGCCATTCCAATTTTTTTATATTACTCATATCCAACAATAAAATAAAAAGGAAAAAGAAAAAGAAAGCACTATATTACTTAAAGGATTCCTCCCTCTTAAAGTCAAATTCATATCCAAAATGTTTCTATTTCTTTAACCATTTTCAAATAAGCTGTTATTTCCATCTACTATGTGGTATCTCTGCATTAGAAATGTATTATACTATAAGAATATTTTATTGTCATTCAAATATAAACTAGTTTCAAAAAAGTTGAACTTTACATAAGATAATGGTCATATCAGTGGGAAAAAGTACTACATCCTACAGAGGAAGATTTTTTAATTTATTGTACTTGTATTCAAGATATATCTGGTATTCAAATATCACTATCATTCTTGGGTATACTGAAAGAGCCTGTTTGGTCATGCAAGGGAACAGAAGGGTTTATTGCTTGCCATTATTTTGCGTTAGAAACTTTTTAAAAAAAATCTTGAACACAAGCTTAACTTTTATACTGCCATTTATTCACATAGAACTTTTTTTCCTAACTGCAGCTTTTCACACTAATGATAAAAACCAGTGATGGGATTCAGCCAGTTCTCACCAGTTCAGCAGAACCAGTAGCTAATTTTTTGTTGCCCAGGCCCAGAATGAACTTCCGGAAGCAGCATTCACACAGAGAACTGGTTGTTCACATATTTGAATCCCACCACTGATGAAAACACAGAGATAAATACCTATTTTGTAATTAATTCTTTTAAATACAATATTGTGAATAGGGTTTCTAAAATTTAGCTATTTCATTTTCATGTTTAGAAGATAAGAATAAAGAATAAAAAAGTAAGAATAAAAGAGCAATATGTAGCAGCATATTTATTATGTTGATATTTTTTTATTTTATAGGTCAACTATTAACACTAAGTGAGTTAATATGCAATTTTTGTTAATTAATAGAAAAACCACTACCTTACATGCCGGCGTATAAGATGACTTCCGGAAGCGCTAAACTCGGCGCCAAAGACGGGGGTCGTCTTATACGTCGAGTCGTCTTATACGCCGGAAATACTGGTAGTTTCTGGCATATAAGACGATGTTCTAGGAATGCGGCTCAGCGACAAAGACGGAGATCATCTTATACGCCGGATCACCTAATACGCCGGCATATACGGTACATCATAATTAATATTACAGCTTCTTTAAATGTATATCCAGAAGGTTCCTTAGATTTTAGTGCAGCTATCTGCATGTAGATGAATAAAAAAAATGACCAATCATGATAGAGTAGCAATTCATTTCTTTCATGTAAAAATACAATGTTATACCTACAGTTTGATAATCATAATTCTAGTTTTAGTGCCATGTATTAAGTGTGTACTCTAACTGAAATTAAAAGATAAACATTAGATGCTTCAACAATGTAGTCAGATGAAAGGTCTTATTAGGATTTTTGTTTTTTAATCTTGTGCATGTAGAATACTTTGGAGATTTTTACTATTGCTGTAGTAGTACTACTGTTCAGCATTAGTTAACAAGCTTAGGTCTCTTAGATTATACCATTTAAAATACAGGAGAGATTACATTTGTGAATGCTGTGCACATTCAAAGATAGCATTCTGTCATTGTTTTCTAATTCACTTTTTTTTAAATAAAAAGTTTTTTATTTTTCATTTATTCATACAAAATACAATTCAATTAAAATCCTAATCATTGGTACCGCCTGCCCATTCCCCCCAGGCCGCGTCCACCCTCTCTAATCCTTCCCTACTTCCCTCCCCTTTCTCTCCTCCCCTCCTACTCTCTTCCCCTCCCCTTCTCCTCTAACCATCCTACTTCCTCCCTGCTCCTTCCTCCCCTCTCATCCCTCTCACACACATGAACGCAGCATAGGGGAAATGCCCAAGCATTTACCATGACTATATTATCATTACCCACCCACCCACCCACCCTCAACCCTCCCCCCCTCGCTTCCCAGAGCAGAATACAGGGTTATTAATAAGAAAGTTAACAATAAAAAAAGGAAAAGAAGAAAGAAAAAAGAAAAAAAGAAAAAAAAACATCATACTTAACCTTTAACTCCCCTTAAATTAAGTCATATAAACAAATCTCTACAACAGTTACTATAAAATTTACTCATAAAATAAATGAAATTTTATAGTCCCATATTTTTTCTGAATATAATCTACCCATCTTCCCCATACAATAATATATCTTTCTTGTGTATGATCCTTCAAATAAGCAGAAATTTTTGCCATTTCTGCAAAGTTAGAAACTTTAAATATCCATTCTTCTAAAGTAGGCAACGAATCCTTCTTCCAATATGAGCCTACTAGTAACCTTGACGCAGTTAATAAATTCAACATTAAAGTAATTTCTTTGTCATTTAAATCCACAAAGATACCCAATAGGAATAATTGAGGGGTGAACTTTATCTTCCTTTTAAAAATCTTTTGAATGTTCCACCAAATCATAATCCAAAAAGCCTTTACCTTTTTACAATTCCACCAAACATGAAAATATGTCGCATCCATATTACCACATCTCCAACATTTGGGTTGTAAATTTGGATACATACAAGATAATTTTTTAGGATCTAAATGCCATCTGTAAAACATTTTATAAAAATGTTCCCTCAAATTTTGAGCTTGTGTAAATTTAACATTTCTAATCCAAATTGTCTCCCATAAGTCCAATGGGATCGGTTCCTGGATATTCTGAGCCCATTTAATCATACAATCTTTAACCAATTCTGTTTCAGAGTCTAATTCCATTAAAGCATTGTAAATTCTTTTTATATGGGCCTGACTCTGATCTTTAATCTGAATAACCAGATTTCCATCTTCTAGTGTTATTCCTCTTTCTTCTCTACAGTCCACCTGTCCACTATTTGTAAATATTGAAACCATGACTGTAGAATATTTTCCTGCCTTAATACATCTAGAGATTTTAAATGCCAATCCGAACCTGACCAAGTTAATAATTCTTTATACGAAATTTTATCAAAGTTCATCCCCTTAGAAATCCCCTCAATTGCATGTCTAGGAATCCCCCAGATGGGTATTTTATAGTTTAACCTATAATAATACTTTTTCCAAACTCGAAGTAAGGCACTCCTCAAAATATGTGATTTGAAAGCCCAGTCCACTTTCTTATTAAAAATTAAATATGCATGCCAACCATACATTAAATCCCACCCTTCAAGAGCAAAAATATCCTTATTTGTTAAATTACGCCAATCACAAGTTAAGGCGGTTGCATCATAGTATAATTTTAAGTTAGATGCTTTAAGTTCTCCTCTTTCTCGGGCATTTTGCAAAATCTTAAACTTAACCCTTGGTTTTTTCCCAGCCCAAATGAATTTGTTGATACCCTTCTGCCATTCCTCCAAATTTACATCTTTTTTTAAAAAAAGGTATCATCTGAAACAAGAAAAGAAACTTTGGTAGAACATTCATTTTTACAGCTGAAATTCTCCCCAACAGTGACAATTGCAGTTTTTTCCAGTCATTTAAATCCTTTTGCACTTTTGCCCATAGTAATTCATAATTATTTTTATACAATTTTCCATTTGAGGCAGTTAAATATACTCCCAGATATTTAACCTTTTTCACCATCTGAAAACCTGTGGCTTTAACCAAACTTTCCTTGTCATTGGCTGACATATTCTTAGATAATATCTTAGTCTTATGGTTATTGACTTTAAAACCAGAAACTTTTCCATACTGTGTTATAAGTTCTAATAGACAATCAACCGCTCTAATCAGTTGTTCCAAAATCAAAACCAAATCATCCGCAAAAGCCCGTAATTTATACTCATTTTTTCTTATCTTATGCCCTTGATGACCGTTGATTCTCGAATCAGGATCAACAAAATCTCCAATGTTAAAACAAATAACAATGGAGATAGTGGACATCCTTGTCTTGTCCCTTTTTCAATATTAAAAGTCTCAGTCAATCCCCCATTAACAACAATTTGAGCAGATTGTTGCTGATATATAGCTTTAAGTGCATGCAAAAAAATTATCCTCAAAATTCATTTTCTCTACCAGTGAGAATAAGAATTGCCAATCTAATTGATCAAAGGCTTTTTCAGCATCCAAAAATATAAAAGCCACAGGAATCTGATTGTTCTTATCCAAATACTCAATTAAGTCAATAATTTGTCTAACATTATATTTCATGTATCGCCCTGTTATGAATCCTGATTGATCACTGTGAATCAAATCCTTCATAACCTGCATTAATCTATTTGCCAAAATTTTTGTAAAAATC